AAAAAAAAAAAAAAAAGAAAGTAGGTTTATACTTCCAGTTAACTAACATAAAGACAGCAGAAAAAGTTATGATGATGAGGCCTTCAGATGTGGCTTTCCCATTAGGTGGCAAGTGAAGGAATGGTAAGATCAGGGTGTAGGAGACTGAGCACCATGCATATAAGAACAGTCACCAGTTCTTGAGGGAAAATCTGAAAGCAGACAGTCTCCTGGCTGGCCTAGAGATGGTTTGCAGCCTGGGGACAAGCCCTCAAGCAACTTGATGCTCTACTGAGATAAGATTAGTCGCTTGTTAGTAAGCACGTGTTGGACCTTAAACATATGTGGTGCATCAGGGTTGGAGTTGAACCTGTAGGGAAAGAGCTCATAGTGATCCTTAAACACACAGTCCTTGTAGGTGAGGGCCCCCCCCACACCTGTTGTATATTCAATTAATGGCCACGGGGGGGAGGTTACTTGTGGCTCTCTTGCACCTCTGCGAAGCCTCACCTCTTGCAAGCTTGTACTTTCAATCCGTGTACCAGCTGTTTCATGTGTGCAGTACTGACAACACAGCAACTCCAACATCAGGACACATTCAGTCTGGTCCCTGACTTGACTTGCAGCCCTCGGGGTGGAATGGGTCTCCTTGCCAGTTCTGGAAGAAACAGAACTGTTGGAGGAGAATGATGCCTCTCAACTGTCTAGACCTGATCCTTATGGAGCTACCACATTTCTATCTCAATATTGAGCTGTGATAAGTGGCTAACATAGCAGCAGAGGTGGAAGATGATTCATAGCTCACTGCAACCTTAAAGCTATGGACTCAAGTGATCCTCCTGCCTCAGCCTCCAGAGTAGCTGGGACTACAGGTGCGCACCACTGATCCCTGCTAATGTTTTTATTTTTATAGAGACAGGAGTAGGGGGTGGGGTATCTCACTATGTTGCTCAGGCTGGTCTTCAACTCCTGACCTCAAGGGATCCTCCTGCCTTGGCCTCCCATAGTGTTAGGATTACAGGCATGAGCTACATGCCTGGCCTGCATTTCTAACAAGCTTCCAGATACTACTTGAATAGCAGCAAGATTTAGACCAGCACTGTCCACAAGAAATATAATGTGAGGCACACATGTCTTTTTAAATTTTCTAATATCATGTCAAAAGTAAATAGTGGCTGGACACTGTGGCTCACGCTGTGATCCTAGCACTCTGGGAGGCTGAGGCGGGTATATTGCTGAGCTCACAGGTTTGAGACCAGCCTGAGCAAGAGTGAGACTCTGTCTCTAAAATTGGCCAGGCTATTTGATGTTCTTCAGTATCTTCTTGTGGCAGGCGCCTATAGTCCCAGCTACTCGGGAGGCTGAGACAAGAGAATCACTTGAGCCCAAGAGTTTAAGGTTACTGTGAGCTCTACTAAGGGAGCGCTCTACTAAGGGAGACGAGTAAAACTCTGTCTCAAAAAAAAAGTAGAGGCTAGGCACCTGTGGCTCAAGCGGCTAAGGTGCCAGCCACATACACCTAAGGTAATGGGTTTGAATCCAGCCCGGGCCGGCCAAACAACAATGATAGCTGCAACCAAAAAATAGCCGGGTGTTGTGGCAGGCGCTTATGGTCCCAGCTACTTGGGAGGCTGAGGCAGGAGACTCACTTGAGCCCAG